TGAGATCTGTCGTCCACAATGACCATATAACTCTTTCTTTTTGTAACTCCAGGAATTAACTGTCACTTAGATCTTCCTCCTTGTCACTGTTCTGTGTTGGTCCTGACTCAGCCCTGGTGCCACGCAGACACTGACTGTTTTCTTCATCCTGTGACAGTCCTTCAGATATCTGTACCTAGCTATCAGCTGCCAGGTCAAAGATCTCCCAGTTCTGTCAGTGTGGCCCTTCCTGTGACCCTACCTTCAGCTCACCCCCTCCAAATACTGTCCTTCTTTGGGTATGGGGTGAGACCAAGGTCCTGGAGACAATGGACCTCTAGGAAAATCCAAGAGACAATTACTAAGTAGGTCTCCAAAGACATTTGCCCTTTGTGGCCCTGTGTCACCTAGTTTGAATGACAGCAGCTTCTTGAGTTTGGCCTTTAAAGAGTGCTGATGCCCAGGTGGGCTAATGGGAGATGCCTCCTGTCCAGCTTGTCCAAAAGGCTCCAGATCTGGAGGGGTCTGCAGGAGCTTGCAGCCTCCCCGGGGCCAGAGCTTACCTTCTGAGAGTTTAACTCCTTGGTGAGTATCAGAACCTGTTGCTCCAAGGCCACCACTTTCTCCTGGGCAGTTCGGTTCCATGTGAGTCCTTCGGAAAAGAGCGGGAAGGTGCTGTTCTGGCGCTTGGCTTTCTGAATGAGATTGGTGGTCAGAGAGGACTTGGGTACAGGCTTTGGAGAATCTGCTGGCTCTCTCACTGCTCAAGAGGAGAAACACAAAGGTTATGACTGATGACAAAGGTAGTTCTTAAACTTGAGCTTGCTCCAGAAGCACCTGGAGGGCTTGCTAAACGAGATTGTTGGGCCCTACTTTTAGAGCTTTTGATTCAATAGTCTGGAGCTCAAGAATATGCATTTCTAAAAATCTCCTAGGTGATGCTGACACACGGCTTGTCCAAGGGTCAGACTTTGAGGACCACGGGACTAAATAAACATTGACACAGTGCTGGCCGGGTCATTTAACCCATCTGCTAAAGTGTGCCTGTCTCTTTCCCTGAGATCCCAAGCTGTGTGGGTCTAGCTCATACTACCGTGCTGGTGTTTGCCAGCTGGCTTTCTCCTTAGGCACAAGCCCTGGAAGGATGTCTTGTTTCTTATGGCAAGATCCCATCTCTACCCACTGGGAGATTTTCAAAGCACATAGATCTGTCTGTTGGAAGAGACACAGAATGAATATCTGTACTCTGCATTCTGGCTCCAGAGAGCAGCGCAAACTCTTACACTTGATTCTTATTCCAAGCTTAGTAAGCAGACATTTCCACAGTTGATTGCCTCAAGGATACACAGTCCTTTTATTTCTTCTACAGCAAGGGTCAGCAACTTAGGGTGCAAAGGTGAAATCCAGCCCATGGCCTGCTATTACAAAGTTTTATTAGAACACAGATATGCCCATTTGTTCATGTGTTGGCAATGGTTGCCTTCACAGAGGCAAAGCTGAGTACTTGCAACTGAGACCCTGTGGCCCACAAAGCCTCAAATATTTACTATCTCTTTACAGAAAACTTTTGCTGATCATTGTTTTCAAGCCACTAAATTTTAAACAAAATCTAACATCAGAGAATCACCGCTCTGGGCCGCTTTGTCCTGCCCTGCCCTGAGCCTGCGCAATAGAGCTCACCACCAGCCTGCATCAAAGGACAGTTAGTGGCCTGATTAGTAGTCAAGGGACCTTGAGAAACAAGTTCACATGGGACATACACCTCATGGCTGTTATGAGGCCCTGGCAGGAGAAATCCCTTCATCCCAGTGCCAGAAAAAGCTTTGCTTCTAAGAAAATACATTTTTACTCATATGGATGATGGAAATAATCTAGCCACTTGCATTTTCCTCTTTGCCCTGGCTGCTGAGAAGCTCAGGGCTACATTTGCGACCTACCAGAAGATACTCTGTAGGATCTTATCTTGCTTTACCTAAATCTCCTAACCCAAATGACTCATTTATTTTTCCACTGACATGTATTTCAGTAAACTATCACCAATCCTTTTGGGACTAAGATGTTAAAAGTGTTTAAAAGAAGGATGTGCTGGCTTGGCGCCCATAGCACAGTGGTTACAGCACCAGCCATATATACTCAGGCTGGTGGGTTTGAACCCCAGCCTGGGCCAGCTAAACAACAAGTACAACAAAAAAATAGCCAGGCGTTGTGGCAGGCACCTATAGTCCCAGCTACTTGAGAGGCTGAGGCAAGAGAATCACTTAAGCTCAGGAGTTGGAGGTTGCTGTGAGCTGTGATACCATAGCACTCTACCGAGGGTGACATTATGGGACTCTGTCTCAAAAAAAAAAAAAAAGGATATGCTATGGGACCCCAGGGGTTGAGGAATGGGATGAGATGAATGACATAACAGGAGACCAGGCCAAGGGCTGTCCAAACAGTCTTGAACAGATGAAGAACTCCAGTAGATGACAGGAACAGGACATTTCTTATCCTTGCTTGGTGCAAGAGAATGGTCTTATTCCAGACTTAAGAGAAATGCAGTTGCACCAGGTACAGAGCAGACTGCAGAGCTCAGAGGGACGCAATGTTTCTTTCTCTTTCCTGTTATGGGGCTTAGAGAGCAGGGAGACTGTCTGGAGCTCTGCTGCCCTCTGATAACACTACTGTCCCCCATCTTTCATAACACTACCATCCATCATCTTTGAGGACAGGCAGGGCAGGGACTACTGAGTCCATTTTATAGTTGGAGAAAATGAGGCCTAAGTTTTCAGTTAGTGCCCTGGAATTTCATGGGAGTGCCTGAAGGGCTGATGGCCGATAGGAAGGGCGAGTGAAGGAACAGAGGAGGAGCCCACCTCAACTCTGCTTTTTAAAATCTGCTTTCTATGTTAGATTTTTTTTGGCCGGGGCTGGGTTTGAACCCACCCCCTCCAGCATAGAGGGCTGGTGTCCTACCCTTTTGAGCCATAGGCACCACCCTCTATGTTAGATTTTATTTAGGGGGTCAAGGTTTCAGACAATAAAGATATTATTTGAAAAATGACTAACTTGGAAAATGAGGCTTCAGGCAGCAGTGTGGAGCCAGACTGCTTGGCCCAAATCCTGGTTCTGTCACTTACTATGAAGCTGTAAGCAAGTCACTCCACTTTCCCATGCTTCAAATTTATCAAATGAGGATAATAACAGTATCTGTAGCTTCAGTTACTATAAGGATTAAATAGGTCGATACAGTCAAACTGCTCAGAGGACATGGGTGAAACTTGAAAAGACTGCTAAATGAGGGAAGCCAGTCACAAAGGACAGCAATGTCCAGAACAGGACAGAATATAGATTAGTGGTCACCTAGGGTTATGGGAGGTATGGATTGGGGGCTGATGGATGCAAGTTTCTTTATGGGGTAACAGAAATATTCTAAAATTAATGGTAGTAATGGTTGCATAACTCTCTGGATATACTGAAAGCCACTGAATTGCTCATTTTAAATGGGTGAATTGTATAGTATGTGAATTATACCTTAATAAAGTTTATACCAAAAAAATGCTTAGTACAGCCTAGCACAAAGTAACTCCTACATAAGTGCTAGTTTTATTACTATTGATATTGATCTGATACAGTACCAACCTTCTCTGGGACTGCTAATTTGCCTTGCAGGGGCCTCCTGAGACACTAACTGTTCCAAAGGGCACTTTTCTAGAGCCATTTCTACACAGCCTAGGAGATCTTGCTGCTATAAGAAGTCTCCACAGTGCTGCCCCTACAGTTTTCTCCTAACTGTTCCTAAGTTAAAATACATTCTAAGGGTACCAATGCCAATTCCAAAGACATCGACCTCCTGATGGTATGAGTTACATTTTGCAAAAGAAACAATAAATGCTATGTCAACCTTAAGGTCATTTGCTTGATGTCTTCAGGAAGATTTGATTTTGGTCACCCCAGAAAGGCATTTTTATACCCTTTCTGTAGTGTGTGTATATATTTTTAAGTGGGAAAAGAAGAAAAAAAAAGACAGGTATTTTCTTTTATTTCAGAAATCATTGCTAAAACTTTCGATTTGGGAAGACAAAAATGTTCTGGAGATTGATGGTTGTGATGGTTGTATAGCAATGTGAATGTATTTAAAGCCACTGAATTATATACCTAACAATGGTAAAATAGTAAATTCTGTTATGTATATTTTACAATTAAAAAAACCCTAATGCCCCAGGAATGACCTAGAGATTTTCATCTTGACACACTGCTGTGGACTGAATGTGTTCCCCCCAGTTCCCATGTCGAAGCCCTAAACCCCAAGGTGAGGGTATAAGGAGGCGAGGCCTTGAAGAGATTGAGATAAGATCATGAGGTTGGAGCCCCGTGATGAGATTAGTATCCTTAGAAGAAAAAAAAAGAAATTTCAGCCGTGAGAGCACTCAGCAAGAAGGCAGCCAACTGCAAACCAGGAGAAAGCCCTCACTGGTCACTAAACCTGCTGGCACCTTGACCTTGGGTATCGTAGCATCCACACAACTGTGAGAAGTAAATGTCTGTTATTTAAGTCATGCAGTCTATGGTGTTTTGGTATAGCAGCCCTAGCAGACCACGACACACACAAACACACAAATGCTGGCTCTCAGGGAGGAGAGAGCGCTCATCCCAGCCCTCAGCAGCTGGTCTCTCAAGGCAGCTCAGAATAGACACAGGCTCACCTGGGGTGCTGGGGTCAGGGGCCACAGGCTGCTCCTCCCTCTGAGGCTCCCCGCTCTGTGGAGCCTCTTCCCCTGGAGGTCCACGGCCTGTTCCTTGTACCTGCTTGTTGCCACGGATGTTGTGCATTGTGTTTCTGCAAGGACATGCACAGAGGAGCATGAGGCTGACAGCCCTGCTGCCCTGTCCCTCTGCCCCTCCCGCTTGCATGGCTAGAGCTCATCCTCACACCCCTGTCATCCCAAGTGCTCCCCCTACCTTGTGGAATGCAGCCCCACACATGCTACCCCATCTCCCTCATCCTCCTTTTTTGCACTCATCACCTTCCACACGGGAGCAATATAAGCTTGACTCGCTCAGCCCCCAACCCTGCTGCTAGAATATAAGCTGGATGAAGGCAGGGCTGCTCATCTGTTCTGTTCACCAAGTGCATCTAGAATGCCTAAAACAGTGCCCAAAACACAAGTCACTCAATACATGTGTGCCAAATGAATGTTAAATAGACTTGCCGAACTAACTTCCCTAACACCTGTATCTGGTCTCATTCAAAAGCTACCAGTGACTCCCTACTTCTGCTGAGATGAGTTGCAAACATCTCCTGCCATCCTTCCCCTCTGCTCTTTCCCCACTCAGAGCTGTCCTCTCTGCAGCCTTCACTGACCTCACTATGATCTCAGAGCCTCAAAGGAGCTTACGTATTTCATGGCTGGGCTACACCTTGGTCAAGTACTTGTCTAGGCTGAAGCGTCAGGGTGTCAGTTCCTTAAGAATTGGGCATTAATCTACCTGCATGCCTGCTGGTGCGGGACAGGTTCAATTCATGTGTGGTTTACAGGAAGGAACGAGGCAGCACTAAAGGCTGGTCTAAGACAAGAGCCTACGGAGAAATTCATAATGAGCCAAATGAAAAAATAGCTCAACTGAGGTTATTTGTCCTCACGAAGAGATAAAAGTAGACATATTCCAAACTTATTAACAGGGAATAGGAAATGATTAAAGGAGCTCACTAGGTCACTAGGTCAAACTGCAGGGTGTGACCCACTGGTGAACTGTAAAATCAGTTTGGTGTCATGATCAGAATTTAAACAATGAAACAGGAAGGATAAGAGTGCACCCCACTTAGTAAGCAATGACATTTGGTGAATTACTTATATGTGTAGTGAACTGTAGGAAAAAAGTGATTTCTTACTGTGGTCATGGTCAACAGTTTGAAAAACACTATAATAGGAGGGCATTTACTTGTAGCAATTACCATGTCATCAAGGAAGAGAATGAAAGTCTACAGTCCTGTGCCGGAGACCTGGCTTTGTTATGCAATGCCGCATGCAATGGAGTATGTCTAGCAACAGACAAATCACTCTGAAAAACCCTCATCCCACAGGGTGGCACCTGTGGCTCAAGGAGTAGGGTGCTGGCCCCATAGGTTGGAGGTGGTGGGTTCAAATCCAGCCTCAACCAAAAACTACAACAATAATAAAAAACCCTTCATTCCACAAATACCAAGACACATTTTAAAAATACTTAGCTCAAATCTCAGGAAAGGAAGGGAAATACAGAGACTAAACATGAAAAAGGACATGAAACTCCAGTGGGAAGTAAAGAGGAAGATGAATGTATAGATTGGATTGCTCACCACACTGCTCACTCCCTCTCCTACACTTCTACGGGAATAGCTTACTTCTCCCTCTTCCTCTTGACTGATTGTGGCCTTGTGACTTCCTCTGGCTAACTGGACATTATCAGAGGTGGTATAAACATAGGCTTAAAATGCGCTTGCATGTAGGGCTTGCCTTACTGTCCTCCTACTCTCCATCACGAGAACACGTTCAGGTAGCTGCTGACCCGTGGAAGGTGAGAAACACTTGGGGCACACCTAGCTCCTATCAACAGCTTAGAGCCATGACCAAGTAAGTTAAACAAAATGTTAAATAACTATATTAAATTAATAAATACAACATGGAGTCATGGAACAAGGACTATAAAAATAACCAGGCATACTTGAAAAAGAGTCAAAAAGGACTTACAGAAATGTAAAATATGATAATATATAAATGTATATTTTATATAAAAATCAATGATTAAACAGCAGATTAGACACAACTAATGGAAAAATTGGTGAACTGATAGATTTAGAAAAATTACTTAGCATTCAGCAGAGAGTAAGAAGTAATAAGTATGACAGAGTGGTTAAGAGACATGGAAAGTAGAATGAAAAAGTTAAACTTTTCAGTGTACAATACTTCTCAAACTTTAGTGCCTGTACGATGCTTCTCAACTGTACGATGCTTCTCAAAGTTGATTGGCTTAAGAATTATCAGAAAGCCCAGGTGCGGTGACTTACACCTGTAATCCCAGCACTTGGGAGGCCGAGGCAGGTGGATTGCCCTGAACTCACGGGTTCAAGATCAGCCTGAGCAAGAGCGAGACCCCATCTCTAAAAATAGCTGGGTGTTGTGGTAGGCGCCTGTAGTCCCAGCTACTTGGGAGCCTGAGCCAAGAGGATCACTTAAGCCTAAGAGTTTGAGGTTGCTGTGAGCTATGACACTACTACACTCTATTGAGGGTGATAAAGTGATAAAAAAAGATAAAAAAACGAATTATCAGAAAATCATGTTAATAAAGAGATCTTGATCCCAGTCACAGAGATGTTAATTCAGTAGGTGGAGGGCAAGAACTTGTCACTTGTAATGAGCTCCCAGGTGATGCTTCGCTGTTGGTTCTTAGACCACATTATGGGTTCCACTAACTGTATACATATGTATGTCTAATCAGAGCTTCCAGGGGAGAGAAGAAAGAAAATGGGGAAATGCAATACAGAGAAAAGGGCTAAGAACTTTTCAGGATTATTGAGTCAAATCTTCAGATTCAAGAACCACATAAATCTCAAGAAGGATAATAAAGGAAAATCCATGGCAAAGACAAAGAGAACTCCATTTTTAAAGCAGTCAGTTGATTTGCAGAGAAATGACAACCAGACCATTGGCCAACTTCACTACAGCAACAAGACAGAAGACGAAGATAGTCAATATGCTGAGAATTTTCTTTCCTATGAGACTGTCGAGAGCGAGAATAATATAAAGACTTTTTTGGACAAAGAAAAACAGACTTTACTGCCAATAGTTCTTCACTAAAGGAACTTCTAGAGGAGGTTCTTGAGGAAGAATGAAAATAATCCCCAAAGGAAATCGTGCATGCAAAAAGGAACTGTGAGCAGAGCAACCAGAAGACGTGAAGACACATCTAAGCAAATACCAACCATGATAATAAACCATAAAGAATAATGTTTAACTGGGGGGTAAGCCAAGACAGGGCCAAAAGACTGGGCAATCGTAAAACATAAACACACGACAGGAAGAAGCTGACTGGATTTCACAGAGGTTGTTTAAGAGAAAGGCTGAGACACCAACTTCAAACTTAAATATAAAGTGTTAAAACTTCTGAAGTAATTTCAGAATGAATAGAAATAGAATATGCGACTCCCCAAAAAATGGTGCCAAAAAACTATTCAACACAACTGGAATCTTTGGATGATTATTTGAACTTGAAAGACCTTGGTTATTTATTTATTTTGCAACAGAGTCTCAAGCT